CTAGAGTACGCTCTCTTCCGGGGAGGAGGTTCAGCCAGCGAATAAAATAGTAGTAGTCGTAGTAGTGGTGGTGGTGGTGGTGGTGGTGGTGGTGGTGGTGGTGGTGGTGGTGGTGGTGGTGGTGGTGGTAGTGGTGGTGGTAATGGTGGTGGTAGAAGTAGCAGCAGCAGCAGCAGTAGTAGTATTGCTGCTGTGGTGGTGGTGGTGGTGGTGGTGGTGGTGGTGGTGGTGGTGGTGGTGGTGATGGTGGTGGTGGTGGTGGTGGTGGTGGTGGTGGGTAGTAGTAGTAGAGTAGTAGTAGTAGTACTAGTAGTGGTAGAACGCGGCTTGGCGCGTGTCACAGGGCCAAGGAAGGAGGCATGGCCCTCCCGGTTTGCTTTTTTCCTTCTTGCGTTCCTCTTACAAGATGACGATAATTATGAAGATGTTGAGATTATAATGATGACGATGACGATGACGATCGGGATGACGGATTTTATACGGAATCCAGAAGTATACGTTGAGAGAATAATTTTTCTTTCTTTTTTGTTTTCTTTTTTGTTTTTTTGTCTTTTCTTTTAAATTTCACACAGGATGATTTCTCCTCTTTCTGTCCTATTCGTCTGCTTTTTCTCACTCTCACTCTTTCTCTCTCTGTGTCTTTTACTTGCTTGCCCCTGACCTCCCCTCCTCTCTCTCCATCAGAGAAAAGCCGACGTAGTGGACGGCACCAGGAGAGGAGGATTTCCTTGGGCGGTTCACACACGAGTTTTCCTCGATTTCGCTCTCATCTATACTCTAGTACACTCCCTGAGACTTCTCTCTCTCTCTCTCTCTCTTTCTCTCTCTTTCTGTCTGTCTCTCTCTCTCTTATTCTCTTCTCTCGTTCTTTTTGGCCCTCGACACTCGTGGATGATGTTCCGTTGGATCCCCTCCTCCCTTACATATATACACACTCTCTCTCTCTCTGTTTCTTTCGTTTTTTTTCTCTTACTCTCTCTTTTTATCTATCTATCTTTCTTTATCGAAAGCGCACACTCTTTTATTATATCACCGGTTGTGTGGTGTCCATTTTCTAACAAACTGTATACACGACCAACAACGTATCCTTTTTCTCTCTTTCTCTCTTCGAATTGACGACGAAGATGACGACGAAAACGAAGACGAATGACTATGATGATGACGACGACAATCAAGACAACGACGACGACGACGACGACGACGACGACGACAACAACAACGACGACGACGACGACGACGACGACGACGACGACGAAAACGACGATGTTGATGACGACGACAACGATCAAGACGAAGACGACGATGACGAAGACGACAACGAAAACGATGACTTACGACTTACGACTTTATAACTTTACGACTTACGACAACGACGACGATGACGACGACGACGATGACGATGACGACAACAACGAACACGACGACGTTGTAGATTATAAACTTTAATACACGAACGATCGTGAATTATTTTACACGCGAGACTTTCTTCTCTTTGAGTTAAAATCGAGTTCGATCACCGCAAACGAGAATAAGGTCGGGGGTCCGGTCCTCCTTACGTAGAGACGATGATCTCGAGGGCTTTTACGAGAAGCGCCTCGAAATATGTATATATATATATATATACTTATATATGTATATATATATATATACACATATATATATATACACACACGAGTATAGTCCAAACCGAAGAAGGAGTATTTTTCGTGTTGTGTTTTCTCTCTCTCTCTCTTTCTTTCCTTTTCTCTCTTTAAATCTCTTTCTCTTTTTCTTTTTTTCTCCTTTTCTTCTTTTTTCCTTTTCCTTATATCCCCTCTTTTTCTTTAAATACGATAAACAGATATTTAACCGCCGAGTTCTCGTTAAGACGCGGAGGAGCCCCGCCTCGGCATGCTTGCGAGGCGGCCACCGGCGAAGAAAACGAACCTTTTCCGTCCGGGGTGTCGCGCGCGCACACGAGGCCGGCTCGTGAGCTGAGCGATTGGATAGACTCTTGGGGCTGCCTGGCGCGCTGGCAACTGACTAAGAATATACAATTTATAGAATACGAAGTCTCCTGGTTCTTTAGTTTCTTTAGTTTCTAGTTAGGTAAGTTCGATAATGTTACGAACGAACGAACGAACGCACGCACGCACACACATACATACAAACAAACAAACCGGTTGGTTTCCAACAATTTAGTACGGGATCTTAACGTTTTAGAAAAATTATTTCGATGACTTTGAGAATTCCCTAGGACAGGTATTACAAGGGAGTTCTAGTAATTTTTACTTTTCGTTAATGCTCCCATCCGTTTAATTTTACGAATGATTTTTATCTTTTCGATATTAAATAAAGATATTGTTAACTTAAGTTATTTAATAAGTATATTGGTTAATTTTATATTCGCTTTTCATTGTATGTGTATATATATATATATATATATATATTTGTGTAACAAAAAAATCTCGATTTTGATTATCACGAAGATTTATTTTTCGTTTAACGTTTGAAGACATAATTTTTTTCAATGATTAGATCGTTATTGGACAATTTCGTTGGAAAATATTCTTTCGTTCAGAATACGTTCCAAAAAGTCGATAACACATTTTTACGAGAGTCGTGAGTGTTTCGTCTATTAAACGCATAACCCTTTCACTAACAGTGCATCTCTCTCTTTTTTTTTGTTTCCCTCTCTTACATACTACGCCATCTCTTGGCTGCGCTTTGGAGTCACGTACGCGCCAAAACTACCTTCGGTCTTCTTCGTCTTCGAAGATGGCTTCGTGTTTCAGATTCTCACTGGGAATTTTGTAATCCGACAAAAGTTCTCTCATTCTGACCATTGGAGTCTTTTCTCATTCTCTGTGAAACTATGACGCACAATGCGAATATATATATATACATATATATATATGTATATATATATATATAGTTAACAGTAAATATGTCCAAGGTAAAGTAAAATCCTATGTGTATATTAAAGTTCTTTAAAATTTCCCGCCAAAAAGATTATTATCCGATTATCTTTACGTCTTAGCATCACTTACTATAAAAGTTGATGAGATTTTATCAACAATATGGGACTTATTATTAATAAGACATAACGCTATTCTTACTTCGTATGAAGATCCTACGTCGATCCGCCATGCCGATGAGTCTTCTCTAGACACAATTTAACGTTTCCTCACTCGCGATGAGACACATCGACAGACCCCCCTTCCGACGCGAAGGACCAGGGGCCTTATCGATGAAAAATTCTTCGGAGCCCTCGCGCCTGCGCCATTCGTGTTACGTAATCTAACCAAGAAGACTAGAAGGAGATCAAAGTTACTATAGTAATACATGTGTCTGCTGAAAAATTGAGAGATATATGTATATATGTATATATATATAAACACACAATACAAACGCGTAGATATATATATATGCGTGTGTATTTCGGATTCTCTTTCTCGCATAAATTTGTCTCTTTTGTCTGCGTACAAAGTATTACGCGCAAATGTCTAACTTATATGCCAATATAATTTTAAACTTTATGGAATGTTAAAAAAAAAAAAGAAAAAAAGAAAGAAAAGAAAAAGGAAAGAAAAAAAAGAAACGAAAAATCTACGCTTAAAAAAAATGAATAACACACCGATATCATAATAATAATTATAATTTCAGAGTAATATAATAATCTTACCATTTGATTAGAAATATAATAAACGTTTCAATAGTCGCAACAATGTTGATTTCTTTTTTCTATCCATTCATATCGTAACGTTCTTAAATCACTAACACAGTTCACTGTTTAAAACGGAAAGACACCACGATGCTTCACGTTTCTAAGCCGAAACTAAGCGGTCGTTCTCTTCGGCTTCCTTCGTTGAACGGAGGGCTGCCTAAGCAGGAACGTATTTGTGTCCCTTCGAAATAGGGATCATCAATTGATTTGTATTATTTCTTAAATTTTTTAAAGTGTTTCAGTTTTCTTTTTATAACGTTTCAAAAACGTTTATAAAAAAACAGACGCATATTATACATACATACATACATATATACATGTGCAAATATATATATATATATGTAGCATATAAGTTATTTTAACATTTTAAAAAACTGAGTCATGTAAACGAGAAATTATTTGTTTGTTTTTTATTTATGCAATAAGACTTTACATAATAACATAATATCGATCTTGCAATGTGACAATTAAAAAATCTTTTATAATCTAATAAAAAATATTAAGTGCGTTTGTCCATTCATTCATTCATTCATCGTTATATCATTATAGATCGTTCAACAGTTATATAGATCTTTCGTTTAGAATAAAATTATATGAAAAAATCAACCGTGTCCAAAAGTATGGGGGCACCATAAAATCTTCTTACGAGCCTTAACTCGTCTTCATAAGAAGGGGAGCCCGGTGTTTTCTTTCTAACGTATTTATTCGAACCCTACGAAAAGAATTATACCCTATGTAGGACGCTTCCCTTTCTTAGGTTTAGCCCCTCCCTCGTCAACCGTATCGTCCTCGTTATGTTTCTTTTTCTTTCTATTCCTTTTGTTTTGCCCCCTTTTTGATTTTCCCTCTGTTTTTTTTTTCTTTTTTTGTTTTTTTTCTTTTTCTTTTTTTTTCCTTTTTAATTCTTCAAAACATATCGTTAATTTGACTTAAATCTATTACTAATTTTTGTATTATTTTATTCTAAATCTTTGATCAATTTCTTTTGAAGATGTCAACATAGTCTGGAATATTTTTAATCGATTCATTGTTATTTTATAAGAGAGAAAGAGAGAGAGAGAGAGAGATAGGCAGATTGATAAATAAAGATAAAGAGAAATAGAAAGAGAGAGAGATGATGCAATTAATAGAAACAATGGAATGGACAAATGTTTCTAAATTGCACAATTCTCTTCATTTCCGTCTATTATTATTATTATTGTTATCATTATTGTTATTATATGTCAACGATGACGAAAACCTCAGGACGTTCGACATCAGGTTGATCTAATATCTGCATAGCTGAATAAGTGATCGCCTTTACTTCAGCTTCTTGACTATGTTTACGTATGTTGAATTCTTCACCGTAAAGGGTCGCTTTGATTTTGAAGTTTTCACGATCGAATTCGTTGATTTTGACTTTCTAAAATGATAAAAACGATGAAAGAAAGAAAAGAAAAAAGCAAAAAAAAAAAAAGAAAGAAAACGCAATTGTACAATAAGAGAGAAAATAATAATCGTTGGTATGATCTATTTGATGTATAATCAAAAATTAATTTACCTTAGCGACAAGGAATGACTCGGCACTGAAGGCAAATAATAGTTCGTTTAAAAATTGAAATAACAGACTCTGAATATCGTGTCCTTCAACTTCTACATTAAGAATATCTGTTATCTCGACACGACGTAGATCTGTCATATATCCGTACATCGCTATTGCACATTGTTCGAATGCTTCCTCCAAACTTTCTCCCCAGGCATGTAATCTGAACGTTAGAAGAATAATTTCCTATCGGTCGTAAAAGTTAATAAAACAATTCTGATTTATCTGATAAAAGTATTAAATAAGAAAATGCATTTTACTTGTCGGCGGAGATCATAATAATGAAGGAACATAACCTAGAAATGGTCGATAAAATTAAAAAAAATTTTCAGATGGTAATACTTACTGTACGTCAGCCGTGTGATCGAGATCTAAAAGGAACATATAAAACGTTGTATTAACAAGGAATTCATTTTTTTAATCAAATTTTTCGATATAACTCGACTTTCCTTCCCGCCAAATCAATTAGCTAGGTTAGATTGTTAAATCTCTCTCTCTATACATATATATATCTATATATATATTTATTATGAAAAATTAAATATCAATCAAATAATATTCTTTGACGTTGTTTATTTAATTTTTATTATAATTAAATAATTTATTTATTTATACTTACATTCGTATTTAACCGGTGGAATCGTAAGATCTTCGTCCGTCAAGTCCATGGCCGGTAACAGCTGATCTCATCTATGTGAATAAACGATCAGCTGATTCGCTCATGACTCTACTACGTTTCGTAGTACGCGTGCGTAAAATTCATACTACGTAGATGGCGCTACTTACAAGAGAGAGAAAAAGATCGCCAATATATCGACCGAGGTTGAATGACTTCTCACCTCTTCCATATGATATTTAATCCCTTTAAAAGATAAAAAAGGTTGCTTCATAATGTAAACAGAAGAAAAAAGAGAAACAAAATATTCTAAAGAAATCAAATGCAAAATTTACATATCTTAAGAGATATATTCACAATATATATATATATATATATATATATATATATATATATATATATGTATGTATATATATATGTATGTATGTATGTATGTATAAAATAATATCATAATATAGATAAGTCTGATTTTTGACTCCCTCGCTTTTTTTTTTGTAAAGCCTTGACATTTTCAGACGTTATTATATTCACCAAACGATTGATGCTAATTGATTTGCTTAATTAAATTCAATTCATTTAAGTTCAATCATATTAAATTTATTTTGATAAAGAATATATATTATTTTAGAATTATATTTTATATTTTTGTTAATTATTATTTTACGATTTATTCCCTTACTTTTTTCTTTCTTTTTCTTTTTCTTTTTTTTTTTTTTTATCATTATTCATTTATTACCATACCCATTTTCAAGATATCGTCACTATATTATTAAATATAACAATATTAATAAATATAATAATATTTAATTATATTTAATTACAACAATTATTTGACCTGTTGCATTCTGTATGAATAACAGTATGTTTACGTATATATTTTCGATTATGCAATAATATAGCTAATGTGATGTATGGAATTAGTGCTACGGTATATTATCATAACCTCGATGCACATTGATTTAACATTTTAGTTTCTTATTCATTAAGAGAATGCGTGGATTGAAAGGGATCTATAATCTCCAGTTGGGAGATCTAGATTATTCATCTCTATTTTTCTTTTTTCCTTTCCTTCATAAATGCGACTATATCATATCATAAACGATTGCTTTGCTAAATAACAAATAAGAAAAATAAAGAGAAAGAAATAATAACATTTTTTTTTATTTGATTATCAATATTAATAATCAAGTTTCAACATTGAGCTAAGTCTGTATGATTAAGAAAGAATTAATAAAATAAATAAAGTTCAATGAAAATTTAATTCTAGAGAATGAATATAAAGTATATTTCATTCGGATCAGAAAGAAGAAAAAAGGGGCAGAATATGAAAAGAAGTAACAAAAACATACGCACATACGTAAGGAATATTATTATGAACGGGCAGACGAAGTTGGAAAGAAATGATTGCAAAATAGAATTTCTTTGTTCGCTTTTTTCTTTTTTTTTTTCACTACCATAAAAACTAGTTTCTCATTACAATATAATCCAAGGGTAGCCACTTGTTATATTTGCAATTTACATGTTATCGAGATTCGCATAATGGCAACTAGGTGCATTAAATGCCGACGTATCACAACAACGTTCTAACCCATATTAGAGTGATAGTCACATCAGGGCCTAGGTCGCAACTTATATGTATATATATATATATATATATATATATATATATATATAATGCAATGAGACTATATATATATATAATGTTATGACTGTGGAATGTGTCATACGAAGAATATGAAAATGTCTGCTAACTGGAAAAAAAAGAAAGAAAGAAAAAAAAAAAAAAAAAAAAAGAAAAGAAAAACGAAATGATATTACCTTTTGTTTCTATTCTAATACGATACATCTTTTTCTTTCTTTTCTTTCTTTTTTCTTTTTCTTTTTTTTTTTTCTAAATAAAATTTTGCATACCTTCAATATTGATTACCTAACAGCTATTTGTTTTTCTTCTACGCTTGCAATTGACGATTATGTTATGTTGCAACTATGAAATCTATGAGTAATATGGAAATATTTGTTGTATCAAGACGAAATAATATTTACATATTTGTTAATTGCAATTTGATGTATCTATCTATTTTTTTTTCTTTCTTTTTTTTTTCTTTCCTTTACTTTTTCCAGTTTTACTTCTTTTTGATTTGTATTCCCCTTTCTTCATTTTTCTATTTTTAAATTAAATATAAGATATCTTCAATAACGATTAGATAATGGCAATTTGTCTCTCTTTCCGATATTTGTAATGAAGATTTTACGCCGTCACATTATGTTAAATGTATTTACGAGAAATATGAAAATATTTCTGCCAAGTGGAAACAACAAAATGATGTATTTACGTTTCTGTTTCTATTTTAAATACGACGATTCTATTTCATTCTTCATTTCTTTATGCTTTTAATATTTTCCTTTTATTTCGTTTCTTTAATTTTTTTTTTTTTTTTTTTTTTCTTAATAAAATTTCCAATATATTTCAAATATATCGATTATCTAACAAATATTTACGTAATATAAAAATTTAGTCTCAAGGAAGGAATGATATGCGAACTAACAAATGACTTCATTTTTATTAAGAATGAGTCAGGAATATAACGACAAAGAAGAAGTAAATTGTAGAGGGCAATAAAGTGCAAAATTAATTATCTATGAGATAATTTGTTCTGATAATATCTCATATTACGAATAATATCGTATAATAATATCTTTAATCGTGTTGTAGTAAGAATTGTTATAGAAAAGGAAAAAAAAAACAAATGAGAAACGATTTTGTTATAAATGTTCTTCGAGATTTATAATATTTAAAAAAAAGCTCGGTATGGAAGACATTTTTTTTAATGAAATATGCGAAAGCATTGAATTTGTCCATCTGAAAATGTAAATTTAATGAGAAAATAAAAAAAAAAAAAAGAAATATCTTTCGGTAAAAAAGAGTGTTTTGTAAAATAAGTTTTTGCATGAGTTCTTTTTTCTCTGACAAAAATAAAATAACTATCAAACAATACAATCCATCGATCTTCAAAGATTACGTAAAAACGTTAAATACGAAAGACAAATTTTCTGTAAAATTATTTTATCTAAAAATATCTATTCTCTGTATAAGATAAGTATCGATTGATTTATCGATCTATCGATATCTCAAGAATGTAATGACGAAAAATATTTTATTGTAAAATTATTCTACGTAAATAAATTGTTATAAAAACAAAATGTTATACAGATCGATCGATTGATCTATATCGTTCCATTGATCTCGTAAGAATCTAAGAATTAAAAAAATACTTCGCGTTAAAAGTTATATATTCTATGGAAAAAAATTATCTTCTATATATATTAAAATAAAAAAGGACAAGAATATTGATCAATAGATCTTGTTACGATCTAACAATCAAATATATTCTCTGGTTGAACCTATTCCAACGATAAATTCTTTTTTCGTTTTTTTTTTCTTAAAAAATAGAAATAACGAAAGATCTTCATTATTTCATTCGTTAAAGCAGAAATGACAAAAAGCATTGATCGATCAATTGATCTATAGATCTCTCGTTAAAATCGAATAATTAAAGAGAAAGAAAAAAAGAAAAGATGTAAGATTTTTGATAAAACGATATTAATTAAAAATTATAGTCTTATATATAATATTTGAATAAAATTAAAAAGAATATAGATCAATGATTCATCGATCATAACAATTGAAAAATCAGAGAGAGAGAGAGAGAGAGAGAGAGAAAGAGAGAGATAGATAGATAGAGAGAGAAAGAGTATTGATCGAACTATCGATCTATAGATCTCATTAGATCTTCTTATAGAAAGAAACGTTTTTTCTAAAGACAAATAAGTTTTATCTATCTGTTGGTTCTACTTCAACAGAACATGCTTCTTACCTCTCACGTGCCACAGCGTTTAATGACATGCTATTTTGCAATACAGGCTAGTACGTGAAGTCCTTGAAGGAGAAAAGTATATAAAGTGAGTAGTCATAATAGTCCAGGTTAGCCGCAAGATTTTTAATCGGCAAGGATGTCGTTCCATTCGTTCAGCGTCGTTTTCGCGATCGCGATCACGTATCTCTTCGTTATTGTTGCCGGTCAAGTCAAACTTCGTAAGTGAATAAATAAAAACATTTTTCTTTTTTTTTTTTTTTTCATTTTGTCGAGTGATAAAAATATAAATTGACAAATTATATGTATATGTATATATGTATATATATATATATATTCTTTTTTTTTTATTTTTTCATATGACGTATTCTATTTGTTTTTTTCTTTTTCTATCTCTTTCCTTTTCTTTTCTTCTTCCTTTCTTTTTTCTTTTTTCAATGACATTTTTAAGTTTCGTTATTATACTAATGTTTGCCATTAAATAATTATTTATATATATATATATATATATGTATATATATCAATGAGTGTTAAATATAAGTCGACAAATTATTCTTTATTATTTATCCGAGTGACGTTTTCTATTTGTTTTTTTTTTCTCTCTCTCTCTTTTTTTTTTTTTTTTTTTTCTAAGATACAAAATTTTTCTTTGATACTTAGTAATCCTTTTTATTAGATAATAATTTTTTATTTCTTATCTTATTCAAGTGACGTTTTCTACTTGTTTCTTATTGCTTATTCTTATTCCTTATTCTTTTTTTTTTCTTCCTCCTTTTTCGTTTCAACATCTCCAGTTTTTTTAGATATTAATCTTTTTTCTTTTTTTTTTTTGTTCTATAAAATAATAACCAATTATTTAAACAAAAATGATCCTTCTTTTATTTGTTCCCTTATGCGTTCTATGACAGATCAATTATATACGACAGTATTAATACAATTGTATATACTTGAAAAACTTTTTTCTAAGAAAAAAGAAAAAAAGAAAAAGGAAAAAAGAATTCTAAAATTTAATTTTTCTAAATATTGAACTCATAATATTTTCCAATTTTTAGCTGCCAATGTAAAGACATGCAAAAGAGGTACAGATGATTACTCGTCTTGTTTGAGATTAGCTATTCAAGAATCATGGCCTATATTTGTCAAAGGTTAGTAAAATATTTATCTTTCTTTATCTCTTCTTCTATTTTTTTTTTCTTTTGTTTCGATGTTCACATCAAACAAATAAAATTTTCAATTTTGAAAAATTTCATTTTAGGTATTCCCGAACTTGGTTTACCTGTTTTGGACCCTTACTATGACGACTACGAAATGTTTGAATTTGGAAGTAATGATATACATGGAAAAGCAGAAAATTCTAATGTTTATTTTTATGGTTTGAAGAATATAAAATTTTTGGCGGTAAGACCGGAATTTACGGACGATCAATTCAAATTGGAGGTCGATTGGTCTTTACCTAAGTGCTACATTGAAGGAGATTATAAGATTGATGCTAATTTGGTCAATTTCAAAATTGGTGGAAAAGGTAAATTTTTATAAAAATTATATTACAATGATATAATCCAATGATTCAAAATAAAATATATCGAATATGATAAAATATATTATATGAGATAATAAAAAGTAAGAGTAATAAATTATTTTTAAGTTACATTGAATAATATTTTACAATTGTTAAATTAGTAGATTAATTTATGAATTTATGATGAAAGAAATATTTCGTTATATTTGATATCAATATTTAAATCACAATTACAACGATCAGATGAACGTCGTATATAATATAAATAATACAAATAACCATATATAAATATTATACAAATGTAAAATCGCATATATACTATGAGAAATAATTTCTATTGATCAAATAAATCAATTGGAATTAATTCGATCATTAATCATTTCTTTATCGTTAGGATATTTCAACGCAAGTATGGAGGATCTTAAGGTTACTTGGGATATAGTTGGTCCAGTTAAAGATGATAGATGGATAATCGAACATTTTATTCCAATCATACAAATAGGTAAATTAAAATTTTGGTGTAGCGATCTTTTCAATGGCAATGAGCAATTAAGTAAGTAAAATTCTTTTATTTTGTTTTTTCTTTTTTTTTTTTTTTTTTTTTAATGCAAAGTTTATCATTATTTTTATCGTTTGATATAAAATTAATATATATATATATATATAATGCATATATATTTTTTTCTAAAAATAATAAATTTATTATTATTTTAATATATATATATATATAAATTTTTTTTTTTAGCCAAATCCACAATAGGATTTATTAATGAATTTTGGCCAACGATATTTCATGGAATGTATCCGTATGTTAAAACCAAATTGGACGAACTATTTACCGATAGCTTAAACCAAGTATTCTCGAAACTTTCCTTCAACGAAGTCTTCCCTTCGGCATAAATAATTTTTCTCAGGAGAGATAATTTTTATCAAAGATCGAAGAAAGACGAAAAAATAAGGAAGGAAGATGAAAGGAAAAAAAATTTACATAAAATGATAGAATATTAAAAAATTCGTCTAGACACGCGTATAATTTATGCGCATTCAACTTAAATGATGGAATATAACAGTTATTTTTTTTTTTTTTCCGTGGCAAGGACTCATAAGATATTTCAATAATTGTTTTTGTGAATTATGTATTAAAATGATGTAAAAATTAATCTGTTAGAGATATGTACGTCGAATATAAAAATTCTGTTCTTTTT